TGTTCCCTTTTGTTTTGTGTTTTGTAGTTGTTCTCTGAATTTTTGGCTATCTAGAGCACCAAATGGTGTTAAATATAGTGAGTGTGGGAGCTACAAGAGATGACAACAGCAGGAAGAAGAAAGCTGATGATGATGAGTATACAAAAACAAAGGACAAAGAAGGTGATAAAGTATTTGCATTTTGCAGACTTTGCAATTATCTGTTGGTTTTAGCTAATCATTAAATAGCTTTGTTAGCAGTCTGCCAGCCATAACCTCAAAGAACAAAAGTAGTTTAGAGAAATCATTTGAATCTAACGAAGAATCGTGAGAGTAAAATAAGCCTCCAAAAAACCTTAAGAAATTTGTATGTTTTTTCTCTAAGTACGAGGAGGGGGGGGGAAGCGCTTTCTTGGCCACAGTCAAATTTGAATATGTCGAGAAAGTACTTGGTCAGTCCATGTGGAGGCGAGAAGAGAGCAACCAATGGTTTCAAGACACTTATGGAAGCATTTCAGCATGTGCTGGGATATCAGAAATCGTTCAACAGAGGAAAAACAAGCCGCCACCAGGACCAAGTGATATATAGAGGTTTTGTATGTCTGCCTTTGAACATAAGCCTAATACTCTTTTCTTTTTTGTTCGGAAAATGATAATTCATCATTGTAGCCGAACATTCTTTTCTCTTTTTATAAAAGCTAAAGCATGCACAAACATTTATCATTGTACCAATTATTCTTCTTAAAGTTATAAAACACATTTACTAAATACTCAATTGTATACTTAATTATGCATTAAATTGAGTCCGATTGTGCTGGTTACTAAAATATTCAAATTTCAAGCATGATTATATTCGCGTTGAAGAAGATCGTGCAGTCAATAGAAAAGGGTGAAACCAGTTCATCAAAAAAGTTACAGTCTTAATATTGTATTTTCTTATAGATACATATTAGTTTACATGTTGTATGGGTAGAATTGCTCATATGCTTAAATTATGTATATTAAAACAATCATGTTTTTATGAAATCTGCTTTAATGGGACAAATGTATTTGTGTGGCTTGAGTATTAATTTCTTGATGTTCTACACTATTTTATGAGATTGGAGTTCCCATGTTGAAAATCATGATATCGTATGCATAACTGCAGTTGTATTTTGTGTCATTGTAGATATAATTATTGTGAATTTTGAAAAAGTGATTCCATAAGCTTTGTAGATATTTGTTACCATCTACGTTAGACCTATGAATGTCATCTAAAAATCTTATTTTTTTGGTATTTATGTTGTAATTGTGAGATATGACATTGTTTTGATTTGGAGGTGATGCAGTCAATTCCATTACAAGATATGTCAATTGTTTCTTTGGGTGAGATGTTATATTAAGAGACTGTAAGTGCTATTGATTAAAAGTGATTATATGTTAAGTGAATATATGGAATATTTATTTTGAAGTGGTTATATATTAAATGCGTTTATGTAATATTTTATTTTAAGGTATATCTTCTATATTATTTTGGTTCGTATTCAATTTGACACTTTTGTATGTGCAATTTGTCATTTTATGTCATTTTAGATTTATATAGCATATAAATTTATGGCTATTGTATATAACTTTAATTGGGTCCGGCTGTGCTATGCACTGCCATGAACAAACTAGTAGTTATATATAAAATATATATATATATATATATATATATATTTAGAATTTATTTTTTATTTAATATTTTATAATATTGTTTGTTTAATAAATAATATATTTGTATTAAATATAATATAGTTTATATATGTATTTCGGTCGGCTTTTTTTATATTTATTTTTATAAATTAAAACCGAAACTGAAACGAAATAACTAGAATTATAATATATGTGAGACGAAATAACACAGTTAAAAATGAGGATTGTACCTGATTCCAGTCATTTGAGACTCGATCTCCTTAACAATCTTCTGCCACACTGTATCGAGTGCGCCGGTCGACGTGTGAAGCCACTGCTTCAACACAGAGTGGGCACTCTCCACCTTACAGGAAGTTGTGTTGCCAAAATGTGTTACCCGGATAGTCCAAGCTTTCACAAACTTCTCCTTGTGGACTAACCATGTCTGCTCGACGTATTTACCACTTGTGGGGCATTCCCGTATTTTGCATGCAATTGAGTTATGGCAGGCATCGTACTCATCCAACATACTGCCATAGACAATCGCCTTCCACCTACCGCGCAAGAACCTCTGAGATAAATTTATATTTTTTCCAAGCAGCTTGTAGACTCTGTCTTCCACATCGTTGTTGATGTGCCACGTGCAGAGTAAGTGGGCAGATTCGGGAAAGTTCCTCCTAATAGGAGTCATTAAGCCCAACTCTCTGTCAGTGACAACCGCATTAAAATGTACCTGAGAGCCTATCAAAAGTCTCAACTTATGGAGAACCAGTCATAACTGGCCTCTTTCTCGTCCTTGATGAGTGCATACGCAATTAAGAAATTATTGTTGCACGGGGTCATGCCAATCATCTCGACCAACGACATCTTGTACCTGTGCAAATGAGACCAAAAGACAGAAAGATATAATCACATAAAACTTAATCGAACATACTAATTATAATTCATACTAATAACGTATTTATAAATTAACATACATGTTGGTTTTGTACGTGGAATCTATGCCGACATACCAGTAATATGTCCGGAATAGACTGACTGAATCAGGATGGGCCATGAATATTTTTGTCAATGAATTTGTGTCTGGAACGACATCTGTATAAACTATATAGTTGTTGCTCTTAGCCAAATGTAGAAACTGGATAGTAACGTCTCTACCCTCGAAACTTTCCCTATGCAACTTTTCTCTATAGTTATATATATGTCGGCGATTAGCGTGGTCTCCTGGAATTCTTTTCCTGGACCGTGACCAAAATTTGTGCTGGTTTCGCCTACGCAGCACTCATATCACGAATAATCTTTTTTGATGATTGGCTGATACCGCTCACCTGTCGATGACTTTCATGATACACAGCAAATAAATGATTATGGAAGCCCTTCTTCTCGTCTTTACACGCGTGGATCATCCAGTAAGTCGATTCGGCCAGTTGTTTTACTTTTATCTCAAATTCACAGTCGCACGCTTTCGTTTTTGTACGTCTAGAGTAGTTTTATCTAAATATACGATTTTGCCTCTATAACATTCACCTCTTTTGCACTTCAAGATCTTATTCCTTCCTCCTTTTGTGTGTTTCAAAATAATCAATGTGAAAGCATTCAGAAGTGTCGTACTTTTGCATCCTTAATAGCCTCTAAATCACTATAAAACGATGTAGTTGTATCGAAAGCGGAACTGTAATCAATACCATCTCCTCCAAAATCTTTTAATGACACCTGCAATATAGTACAATTTTTATAATTTTAAAACATAATAACATCTTTTTTCTAATTTATAAGATAATTAATTGTAACATGTAACATAATAATTTCAAATTTCTAACACGATAATATCTAACGTCCAATTTATAACATAATTATTTCGTATCTATAACATAATAATTTCTAACTCCTAACACAATAATATCTAACGTCCAATTTATAACATAATTATTTCGTTTCTATAACATAATAATTTCTAACTCCTAACGCGATAATATCCAACGTATAATTTATAACATAATAATTTCTAACTCCTAACACAATAATATCTAACGTCTAACATAATTATTTCGAATCTATAACATAATAATTTCTAATTCCTAACGCGATGATATCTAGCGTCCAATTTATAACATAATTATTTCGAATCTATAACATAAAAATTTCTAACTCCTAACATGATAATATTTAACGTCCAATGTTAAGTCTAATTAATCTAACTCCTAACACGATAATATTTGACATCCAATTTATAACATAATTATTTCGAATCTATAACATAATAATTTTTAATTCTTAAAACGGTAATATCTAACGTCCAATTTATAGATAATCAAGTCTAACTTATACCATAATAATTTCTAATTCCTACGGAGATAATATCTAACGTCCAATTTATAACATAATTATTTTGAATGTATAACATAAAAAATTTCTAACTCCTAACACGATAATATCTAACGTACAATTTATAACATAATTATTTCGGATATAAAACATAATAATGTATAATAATATTTATTTAAAAAATAAATAAAATAAAAAATAGTGTCCGGCCAGTCGAACCGGTCGGACCGAGTAAAGTCCGGCCGTCGCCGCCGGACACACTGTGGGCCGTACGGCCGGCCAGTTAGGATGTGGACCGGTCCGTACGGGCGGCCGGTGAAAACATGGACCGGCCCGTACGGCCCCTTAACGCGTACGACCAAGGTCGTGTCCTACCGAACCGGCTGGACGCCATTGAAGCCGTCCGGTCATGTCCGCGATCGCCGGCCGGACGGCAAAAAAAATTACCTCCGAGGAAGACGACATTTTGCCGGATTTTGCTTGAGAGAGTTTCTTCTGAAATTTTAGGAAAAATGAGAAGGGCAAAATAGTTCAAATAGGTCAATGACTAGTAATAGGGGGACGTGAATAGGAATGTCCTTGTTGAAATGATACTAGAATTTTTCTCAAGACACAATTTTAAAAGAAAAGAAAAAAGCAAGGAAAAGCCAAAAAAATCATATCCAAGCAAAGTACGATATTTTTAGCTAAGAGGACAATGAGAACCAAGTTTTCTTCTTTCCTTTCCCTTTATCCTTTTGTTCATAGATGTTACTATAAATAAATATACATTGCAGTTAAACAAAGGCGGCGAAACACATTTGGTTTGCTATGTATATAAATAACAACTCGAATTTTGACTTTGAATTACGCTCTGTGCAACACAGTGTGGGGTCTTATTAAATAAACAAATATTCGTAGTGGTGGCGTACCCACGCAGATAACTTCTTCCTCCTTCCTCTCTTTTCTACCCCCAAAAAAAAAAAATATATATATATATATATATATATATATATATATATATTCCCCATAATTATTCCTTCTAAGCTCCTTTTCCTTCATCAATGGCGGAGACCTTAAAGAGTGACCAGCCGCTGACCCCCGCCGGCCGCCTCTTCCTGCAGCCGAAGATGGAGCAGGTCATCCAAGCCGCCATCGCCGTCGAGTCCCCCATCGACGTTGACGCCATCAAATCCGAGGTCCGGCGATCGGTCATGCTCCAACACCCCCGATTCTGCAGCCTCATGGTGCGGGACCAGAGCGGGCGCGAGAACTGGCGCCGGACTCCGGTGGACGTTGACCGCCACGTCATCGTCCGCCACGAGCCGATCTCCAGCGACCCCGACGAGGACGCCGTCGCCGATTTCATGGCGGATCTGTCAGTGTCTTCGCCGCTCCCCGCCGACAAGCCGCTGTGGGAGATCCACCTGCTGCTGGCGCACAAGACGGTGGTGTTCCGTGTGCACCACGCGCTCGGGGACGGGATCTCGCTGATGTCGATGCTGCTGTCCTGCTGCCGGCGGGAAGATGATCCGGAGAGGACGCCGACGATCGCCGGAATAGGAGGATCGGCGGGCGGGAGGAGGTGGAGCGCGTGGGCGCTGGTGAAGGCGGTTTGGTTTACTTTGATCTATTGTTTGGAGTTCGGGCTGAGGGCGCTGTGGCTGCGGGATAGGACCACCGCCTTGAGCGGCGGGGACGGAGTGGAGCTGTGGCCGAGGAGGTTGGCGTCGGCGAGGTTCCGGCTGGACGACATGAAGGCTGTCAAGCAAGCTGTTGGCGGTGCGGTGAGTGTGTTTAAACTTTAAACCTTACGTTTCATTATTACTCTACGGGATATCAAATAGTACCAATATTTTTCCCTTTATTTAGTCCAACTACTAAATTATGATAATCTTTCATTTGTTGGAATTAAGTACTCCCTTTATTATTAAACTATGATATTATTTATGTACCCAAAAAAAAAAAAAAACTATGATATTATTTTCCATAAAACCTAATATGATTTACCTAAATTAAAAGTCTATCCGGGTGTATTATTTTCTGTAAAACCTCATGATGTGGTAGGGGTGTCGTACCCCATAAACGTGTTGGTATCATCTCATCATCAAATTAGGCTTGAGCTTATTTTCTTGTTAAAAAAAATATATATATATATATTTTAAGACGTTTTAAAGTGGGGAGTGGACTTTATAAAATTTTAATAGTTTAGAGGACTTTGAGTGATCTAAATATCATTCTTTTAGAGATTTTTTTTTTCATGAATTTTTTTTTTTTTAATTTATTAAGACTTTTATAAATTTATAGTATAACTTTTTTGCTTGCATAAACATTTTATGAATAGTACCTCATAATCGATATCAATAAAATCAACCTATTTTTTTTTTTTTTTTGTATTAAACTTAGTTCTAATAAGCTATTTATTTTAATATTAATATTTTCTTTTTTTTGCATTTCACTGAGCGATTTAAAAATAAAATAGCAAATTGGTTTTAATGGTAGAATCAAAACCTTTTAAAATTGAAAAAAAAAAATTAATAATTATTTTAATATGTTTTCAGCTACCTAATTGATAATGATTTATAAAAGTTACATTATACATTACCATTATTGCAATAAGAGTAATGATTCATATGTATTTTAAGTAGTTTTATATAATGTATTTTTTAATAGTATTAAATTTTTAAAATGCAATCGACCTTATATTTTTTCTTAATTTTAATATATACATATGTACAACTTATAATAATTTATTTATATTTGTGCACGTAAATTACTTAATGTTTGTATATGGTATTATGTATCGTTATAGGATGCGAAATTATATATTAGAAAAATCCTTTGTGGATAAATTGTTGAAATATCCGCAAATTAAACTACTTTTGTTGGTGGTAAAATACATGGCACACATCTGTATTTAATGAAATGTGTGCATTGTCTTAAAAAATATACTAGATCCCCTTACGTTTAAGTAATTGTTGCACGAATTCCCCTATTCTATTAAACTTAGCGTCGCGTGGAATACACCTTCTCCAGCTCGAGAATTGTTCAATTTTTTTTATTTTACAGAATTAATAATTTACTTTTATACCCTCTTAAATGTCATAGGAAAATCTAAAATTGTATAAAATGTAGGAAGCAAGATTTGCGTTGGGAGAAGAAGGCACGCCCACTAAGCCAATAGGCTATATGGATTGATGTGTAATCTATTGAATAAAATTATATTTATACATCACACAGAAATGAATTAAATATTTTAAAATAAAGTATATAAATAAAATAAAAGTATAATAGGCCAATTTACTATAAATGAAATAATTAATATTAATAATAATAACTTCCAATAAATTAAATTAACATAAAATGATAAAAAAATTAAATTAAATTAAAGTAAGATAAAATTTAATATAGTATCGTAAATTTAAATTAAATAATTTTATATTTTAATTATTAAAATAAATTAATTATATAAATTTTAAATGAAAAAATAATACAAAAATTAAATTATAAATAATTAAAATTAAAATAAACTAATTAAAGTAAAATAAAAATAATAATTATATAAGATAATAAAGTATAAAAAAGATAAAGTAAAATAAATTTAAATAAAATAACTTATTAATAAATTAAATAAATAAAAAACTTAATTTAATATAATAAAGTAACAAATATTATTTATCAAATAATTCTAATATGATTTACTCTTACAGACAATATGAATAAAAACTTTTGAAATTATTTATATTTTTTAGTAAATAATTTAATTGTAAATAAACAATTTTAATTTCTAAATTTTATTTACTAAATTTATTTTAGTTGTATTTCATTGTCTTAAACAAAATAACTGAAGTTTGTTAACTAATATAAAACAAAAATAAATAATGCAACAAAATAATATAGAATAATATAAATTAAAACACATAATAAAAATAAAAAAATATATAAAATAAATACAATTAATATTATTATAATATAACTGTAATTTTTTATATTTATTTATAATTTTATTTTAATTATTTTTTGTTTGTTTTATATAATAAGTTATTTTATTTCTTTTTTGTTTAATTTTATATCATTTAGTTTATTATATTTAAACTATTATAAGGTTATATTTTAATAAGTTAATTTAATGTAATTTACATTATCTTCTAAATTTGATTTCATTTAACCATATGTAATGTGATGTATATTAATCTTGACTACATCTAATACTCAACATTGAGTGATGTGGTGGTTGCATTGCTTGTCATGCTTCTATGAGGTCTTGAGGTCGAATTTCAAAGGCAACTAATTTTTTTTTATTTAAGTTCTATCAATATATTCAATATATCGTGCTAAATTCAATTTATCGTAAATATATATATAATATTCAGTGGGAATAACAGGGCTTTTGATTAAAAAAAAAAAAAAAAAAA